CGGTAAAAAGGCCAGGTGGGAAGAACGAGAGGTCACCTAAGTGGATTAGCTAAACACAGACATCAGTCAACACCGACTGCAGAATTGTCTTTCTGCGGAACGTGTCTGGAGAATCAGGACTTCCTGCAGAATCACGAAAAGGTTGTGGAGGCGGAGCGATCCGGACAGCAGTAAGGAGCAGGGTCCGTAATCACAACATGGTCAGCGAAGCCCCCTAAAACCTTGCCCAGTCTCTACAGTAAAGCTTAGGTCCGCCTCTTTAAAAAAATCTTTCTAACCATCTTTTTAAAAATCAGCTCTAAGCAGAACGGCCCATTTGCTAAGCAGTTGAGTGGGTAGCTTGGTCAAGCCGTGCACACCACTGAAGGGGCAAGGAAAGATTCTTTGTCAATAAAAGGGAGAGAAAATTTTAGCCTCACAGGCTTCACTTAGGAGATCATGACTCTGTCACAACTCAAATTGGGGGTTCTCTAAACAGACTTTGGGATTCCCAGAACTCAAGCAAGACTGAACTCACATCTCCCCTCTTTGTGCTTTTATCAGAATTAACGCCAGAGAGGGAAGGATCTAGAGTCAGCGGAAGAGGTGTGTCTCTGGCTAAAAGTGCTTCGGCAGGAAGCTGGGGAAAAGAGGACAAAGGTGGAGACCTTTTTCGCAGAGAGGGGAACAGCTAAGCCAGCTCTTCTTGTGCCTATCAAGCAGTCTGATGGAAGTTTCTTTTCCCCAAGCCCTCCCCACCCGAGCTGTGTTCCCAGTGTGAAGCCAGAAAAGTCAGCCAGAGTGGCAAGGAGAGCATACGTTGCCTAGTGCACAGCCCCTGCAACCCAACATGTCCACCCGGGATCTTGCTGGACGGCACATGCTAATTGGGTAGTTCTGGATGGATCTGAGTTTCTGCTTTCCTAACGAGCTTCCAGGAGATGCTGGTGCTGCTGGTCAAGGGCTGTGCCTTGACTGAAAAGGCCCAGGAGTTGTGAGTCTTAGCTACAGGGTTTTAAATGCCGCTAATCTGACCAGATGTAGGAACCAGGCTTCACCATCCCACGTGGAACCGATGAGTGACTCACTTCCGGCCCCGGGGCTGTTTGAGCTCAGGTCCTGTGCCACTTTCGAGAGAGGAGAGGCTCCATGGGCAATCATTTAAGCTGTGGGAGCCTCAGATGCTCACTTGTAAATGGGAGGTGATGACACGTGCACCATCTTGCACACGAGATTGTTGTGCGATCAAATGAGGCACCATCCATGCACGCGCCCTGTAAACTGTGAAATGCTGTTAAGATGTGAGCAACTGTCGCTGTACCGTGATGACCGATTTTAATGACCGGGGCGGGTCTTGGGGGAAGTGCTAACCCTGCGGCCTCATGCAGGTGTTATGCCTTGGAGAAGTCAACTCCTGGTGCTGCTGGCGGCACGGGGCATCGTAGAGCTGGCCCGGGCTTCTCACGATTGGGCACTGTTGTTAGGAATTAAGGGCACAGATGCAAAAACCCCCCAGCCCAGCTGAACTGGGTTTCCAGTCTCATGCCTCTGGTTCCCTGCTTCTTGCTGACAGCGGGCCATGGGGATGTGCCAAGACAGTAGTGGTGCCTGGGACCCAGGCTGGGCTCCGGCCATGGAGATGTGTGTGGGCGCGGCAGAAACCGCAGTCACAACGGGAAGGGGGCGGTCCTGTGAGTCTCCTACACAGCTGGGCACCCGAGGAAGAGGCCGCATCAGGTCCATGCCCCAGAGAGGGATGACTTTCTAGATCAGGAGGACAGCTTCCCAGATCCCAGGGCTCACCACAGGGAGCGGAAATCAGCCAGAGCAGATCTGGGGCTCCTGCACTCTTGTCAGAAAGTCTGCCAGGAATTTCTTCCAATAGTGACTTCTTTTCATAAGCAAATGCTAGAACCTTCTGCTATCATGCAGCTGCCAAACTAAGTGAACGATACAGTGGTGACAGATGTTTCCCTCTGCCTTTTGTAGCTTCAGGCTTCTGGAAGCTAGCCAACAGATTCTCTTTTAGAAACAGCGAGAAACATTCTGAGCCAAGAAAGGGGAAAGGGCAGTTTGGATACCTTTCATCTTAAATCTTATCAGGGCCCAGTGGGTATGGAGGTAATGGTCTTAATGCAGGAACCGTGTGTGGGGGGGGGGGGGGGGAGGGGTCTCATGCAGCTGTAACATTCAAGGTCAAAGGAGCAAATTGGGGCAATTGCAAGCCAGAGGCTTGTTCGTTCTAATGTATGCGATATCGACGCCTGGCGGGCACTAGGGACATGATGATAAATGGTCCCTGTCCTCAGAGAGCACCTGGTGTGGGAGTCAGATAGGCAAGCAAGGTGTGGGGGTGTGGAGGGGAGCCCAGGAGAGAGGCCAAGGGCGTGGGTCCTCGGCAGGATGGGAAGGTTTCTTAGCGGAGATGACCGAGGGACAAGCTCTTTAAAGCCAAAGCACCCTGGGCCAGCAGAGTAGCACAGAGAAACACAGAGGGAACACAGAGAGCATGGCATGCGAGGGGCTCTGTCTTGGCTGTGGGAGGTAAGCTAGGCGGGAGCAGCCCCTGGCGATCCTCCCACACCTCCCACACCTCACAGAGAGGTTGAATTCTTGTGTGGATACTAAGGGGGAGCCATGGAAGGATTCTAGGTAGAACAGAGAAGCCATCAGACTGGATCTAGAAATACTACCACCACCATCAGACTGGATCTAGAAGTACCATCACCGCCATCAGGCTGGATCTAGAAACATCACCACCGCCATCAGGCTGGATCTAGAAGTACCACCGCCGCCATCAGGCTGGATCTAGAAGTACCACCATCGCCATCAGGCTGGATCTGGAAACACCACCATCGCCATCAGGCTGGATCTGGAAACACCACCGCCGCCATCAGGCTGGATCTAGAAGTACCACCGCCACCATCAGGCTGGATCTAGAAACACCACTGCCATCAGGCTGGATCTAGAAGTACCACCACTGCCATCAGGCTGGATCTAGAAGTACCACCACTGCCATCAGACTGGATCTAGAAATACCACCACCACCATCAGACTGGATCTGGAAACACTACCATCGCCATCAGGCTGGATCTGGAAACACCACCACTGCCGCCATCAGGCTGGATCTAGAAGTACCACCACCGCCATCAGACTGGATCTAGAAACGCCACTGCCGAACACTTGTTGACGTCAGCGTATCTGGGGCACGTGGGAACATGT